CAGTTCCCCTACTTCAATTACATGGTAGTTTCCAATTCCTAGAAAATGAAGTTACAGAGTTGTTTGGAAAAATTCTCACTGTCATCTGTGAGCCTACTTCGAACTGGACTTGGGCTTCTTCAAGTGAATTACTAGCTGCTTCAATCTCATGATTGTTCTTTCATAGACCTGAGAGCAAGCATACATTGACATCATTTCTCACACACACACACACACACACACACACACACACACACACAAAACCAATGAGGAAACTAAGAAGCAGAGGTTAAATAAATTGTCTGAAGCAGGTAGAGCCAGGAAAAGGACTTATACCCTCACAGTCCAGCTCCAGAGCCTCTTTCTTTTAACCACTAGGCCAGTGGTCGGCTAACTCATTAGTCAACAGAGCCAAATATCAACAGTACAATGATTGAAATTTCTTTTGAGAGCAGAATTTTTTATTTTATTTATTTTATTTTTAAAAATATATATTTTATTGATTTTGTACAGAAAGGAAGGGAGAGAGTTAGAAAAATCTATGAGAGAGAGTCATTGATCAGCTGCCTCCTGCACACCCCCTACTGGGGGATGTGCACGCAACCAAGGTACATGCTCTTGACCGGAATCGAACCCGGGACCCTTCAGTCCCCAAGCTGACGCTGAGAGCAGAATTGTTTAAACTTAAACTTCTTCTAACGCCACTTCTTCAAAATAGACCCGCCCAGGCCATGGTATTTTGTGGAAGAGCCACATTCAAGGGGCCAAAGAGTCACATGTGGCTTGTGAGCTGCGATTTGCCTACCGCAGCACGAGGCTGCTTCTTGTCACTTACACTGTCTTTTTTAGGAATATTAGTCAAAGATATTTCATTGGATTTACTTCTAAATCTCTCTACTCGTAGATTGTTTTTGTTTGCATAATTTGATCCCACTGGCTCTTCCTCACTTAAAAGTTGCAGTAAGCCGAAACCAGTTTGGCTCAGTGGATAGAGCGTCGGCCTGCGGACTGAAGGGTCCCATGTTCGATTCCAGTCAAGGGCATGTACCTTGGTTGCGGGCACATCCCCAGTAGGGGACGTGCAGGAGGCAGCTGACCGATGACTCTCTCTCATCGATGTTTCTAACTCTATTCCTCTCTCTTCCTCTGTGTAAAAAAATCAATAAAATATATTTTAATAAATAAATAAATAAATAAATAAATAAATAAATAAAGATAAAAGTTGCAGTTAAATTCCAAATCTGTTATAGTCAAGAAACACTTGGGAACATTCAGAGATTTTTCTTTTTCATTGGAAGAAAATGGGAACTTACAAACTCCTCTGCAGTTCAACAGCACCTTTTATTTCCAACTGTGCTCCTGAAATGAAGTCTTTAAACAAGTGCCTTTGGGGAGTGTGGATGGCATACACAATTTGCAGCCTTCTCACCTTGCAGATGTACTAGTTGTGTTGCAGAAGACCAAAGAAAACCAAGGACACTTCTGAGGAAGTAGGAGGGACACTGTTTAATATGCCAGCGGACTCAGGGAACAGCCTTCCAAATCTGAGTGAAGGAACACGCATGGGGCTCTTCCTTCTATCTCCCTCCCTGTGATCTTTGTCCCACAAACTTGGATTATGCTTCTGGTCCTTTTGGCGGGCCTTGTAAGAAGTTCCCAGGTGTTGGGGGTCTCCAGGCCATATCTGATGGTCTGGCCTGGTGTTAGGGTTCATAACCCTTCCTCTGGGACAGTGCACTGTGAAAGGAGAGAGGGACTTAATTATAGGTTATCAGGAATGTACAATGAGCTTGCTGGCTTGCATTCAGATCACTAGCCTCTAAATATGAGGGTTACATTGGAATTACCCCTATTAGCCTCCTTAGTTGTACCAGTCAATAATGTGGATTTTTTCAATAGATGGAGTTACACATATGTTGATATATATGCGGTTTGATATGTATGCTATTTTGTTGTATTGACAACAAGCTTCAAAAGTTCACATGTCAAATTTTTTGAAGGTGTTAACACCATGTATATTTTTACTCTTAAAAATGTCGAATTTCGTGCCCCCCCCCCCAAAGAAAAGAGCGTTTGCAGGAAGTTTTAATTCATTACTTTATTTTGAAGAAAAAGTTATATACTTCGGGCTGCTTATGATGAACATGCTCCATCTCAAGATACTTGTGAACGCCACCTGTAAAAAGGGCCAACATCAACAAATCAACAAACGACAAGTGTTGGCGAGGTTGTGGAGAAAAAGGAACCCTCATGCACTGCTGGTGGGAATGCAGACAGGTGCAGCCACTGTGGAGAACAATATGGAGCTTCCTCAAAAAACTGAAAATAGAACTCCCATTTGACCCAGTAATCCCACTCCGAGGAATATATCCCAAGAAACTAGAATCACCAATCAGAAAGGATATATGCACCCCTATGTTCATAGCAGCACAATCTACAATAGCTAGGATTTGGAAACAGCCTAGGTGCCCGTCAGCAGATGATTGGATCCAAAAACTATGGTACATCTACACAATGCAATACTATGCTGCCATAAAAAAGAAGAAATTCTCATCATTTGCAGCAACCTGGATGGAATTGGAGAACATCATGCTGAGTGAAATAAGCCAATCAATGAAAGAGAAACACCACATGACCTCACTCATTTATGGATAATAAAGAACATTATAAACTGATGAACCAAAAGATAGATATAGAGACAGTAAAGCAACAAGCAGACTGTCAAATTACAGTGGGGAGAGTAGGGAAATCTGGGGAGATAAGAGATCAACCGAAGGACTTATATACATGCATATAAGTACAACCAATAGCCACAAAACTCTGGGGAGGGAGGGTATGTATAGGAGGGGGGAATGGTAAGATATATACACAGATAATAATTTAATAAAAAAAAGATACTTGTGAACGCTAGTTTAAATGCTTTAAAAGTGATGATTTCTATGTAAAAGACAAAGAACGTCCAAGTCAACCGAAAAAGTTTGAAGACCAATAATTATAAGCATTATTAGATGAAGATGCGTGTCAATCTCAAAAATAACTTGCAGAAAGAATAAACATTTCTCAGCAAACAATGTCTGATCATTTACAAGTAATGGGAAAGATTTTAAAGGAAGGAAAATGGGTGCCACATCATTTGAACGAAAGACAAATGGAAAACTGAAAAGTCATCAGTAAAATGTTGCTTCAATGGCATGAAAGAAAGTCTTTTTTTTTTTTTTTCATCGAATTGTGTCGGTGATGAAAAATGGATTTATTTTGAGAATCCCAAATGCACAAAATCATGGGTTGATCCAGGTCAACCATCAACATCGACTACAAGACAACTCACTTCAGAAAAAGACAATGTCTTGCGTTTGGTGGAATCAGGAAGGTGTGGTGTTTATGAGCTTCTAAAGCCAGGTGAAACTATTAATACTGATCACTAAATTTGAACCACGGCCAGAAGACATGGCAAAGTAATTTTGTTTTATGATGACACACCATCACACACTTCAAAACCAGTTAAAGACAGGTTAAAAGATCTTGCCTGGGAAGTATTAACCTACCCCGTATATTCACCAGACCTTGCTCCTTCAGATGGATGGCACATACACTTTCTGAGCAGCACTTGAAAACTTACAAAGTGAAAAATTGGGTCTCTAAATGGTCTGCCTCAAAACAAGGAAAGTTCTCTTGGGATGGTATACACAAATTACCTGAAAGATGGGGGAAATGTGTAGCTAACGATGTACATTACTTTGAACAAAGCACTTTTGATGTTTATCTTGAAATTATCATATTTTTTCTTATTACAACACCCACATTATTAATCGGTTAACAGTTAATCAGCATTTCTAACCGGCAAAAGATTAATCTGCATTATTAACCGGTTAATGATTAATCTGTATTTTAATCCATTAATAGTTTATCCATACTTTAATTGATTAATAATTAATCTGAAATACTAACCAGTTAATGATGCAGATTAACTATTAAGGTTTAAAATGCAGATTAATCTTTAGCTGGTTAAAAATGCAGATTAACTGTTAACCGATTAATGACAGATTTTGCAATAAAAGAAAACACGATAATTTCAAGAGAAACGTCAAAAGTGCTTTATTCAAAATAATGTACATAATTAGCTACACATTTCCTCTATCTTTCAGGTAATTTGTAGATACCGTCCCAATAGAACTTTTCTTGTTTTGAGGCAGACCATTCTGAGGCCCAATTTTCCACTTCTTGGTACGTTTTGAAGTGCTGTTTAGAAAATGCATGTGCCATCCATGGGAACAAGTGGCAATCTGAAGGATCAAGGTCTGGTGAATATACAAGGTGGGTTAATACTTCCCAGGCAAGATCTTTTAACGTGTCTTTGGTTCCGATGGTTGTAGATAAAAACCAGGGGCCGGCGGTGAAAGATGTCCTCAGGAAAGCTGCCATGCAATGTCTCCACCACAGCCTCAGAAACAGATAGAGGCAGTCATAGTTGGTTGTTTTTATTTTTTTATTTTTTATGTTTTTCAGTTGGTTGTCTTGAAGTGACATCATATCATTTAGGAATTGCAGAGACAGCTGAGAGTGGCAGAAAAGTTGTTCTGAACCATTAAAAATGCAGAGATCGCCTTTTCTCTCTTCCTGTTTCGACTGCACCGTGCATTTGCAGGCTGGTTAGGGTTTTTTTCTTTAGGTGGAAAACTCTCCCCCCTTCCTCACGCTCCGGTGCAGATTGGGGGATTGAATAGCTTTTATTTCTCTTCCTCTCCTCTCCTCACGATTCCTCTCACTTAAACTTTCAAGATCCTCCATACGGGTAGTAAGACGTCTCCCCTCCCATTCTCGGGAATCTTGCAGACCCCACCCAGAGGAAAGCTTTTATTATATCTGTATTTTTTAATGAAAGGAATGAGGCGAGGAAGGGGAAAGAAAGCCTCGGCGACCGCGTTCGGGAAGCGCGTTTGCTCCGTCCCCTCGCCCCGGCGGGCTGTGACCCTGCCCGGCCGCCGTAGCGGCCTCGCGCCGCCCCCGCCGCCGCCGCCGCCGCCGCCGCTGGGCCCCGCGGCCGGCGGGACTTCCGTGTTGGCGGGATTCTGAACGCTGCCATGGCTCAGACCGTGCAGAACGTTACACTGTCCCTCACCCTGCCCATCACGTGCCACATTTGCCTGGGGAAGGTAACGGGTGATTCCGGGCGCAGCTCCGAACCGGGTTGGGGCTGGAGTCGCCCGCGGGAGCCCGGCGCGGTCTCCGGTGCCGCGGGCGCAGGGCGGGAGGCGCCCACCGCGCTCCCCGCCGGCGCCCGAGGCCGCCTCCCCGGCCGCCCAGGGAGCGCCCGGGGACGGAGGGGTTTGTGCGTGCACCTTTCGGTGGAGCAGGAGGATGACAGCGGCCTTGTGTCGGGAAGGAGGGCGGCGAGGGCTCCACCACCCACCGCTGCCACCGGCGGCCTCACAGGCCGCCGCCGGCTGGAAGGAGGCTGGGTCGGACCCGGGGCGCGGCGGTGCTCCGCGCCCCTACCAACCGGATCGAGCCCTCCCTTATGGTTCCTCCGTCTCCTGCAGGGCGAGAGTGTCCCTGCTCTTGGCCTGGGTGCTCCTGGGGGAGTCAGTCTTCCGTTTCCAAGGTCCTTCTTTGGCTTCCCCGGCGCTGAACGGCGCTGGGTTCAGCACCGGAGCAGTAAATAGCACGCGGCCCGCGTGGGGTTTAGAATGAGGGGTGTGGTCTTTCTTTCCAAAAAGGGGTTCGTCAGGACATATACCATCCCCACTCTTTGTGATGTAAGAGGTGCCTGCAGTGTTTTTTAAAGCAAGGCGGAGAGAAATTCCATATTGGGTTTTGGATGTTCTGATGCATTCATCTATTTTCTTGTGTGCTCGTTCTGTTTTTCAAAGAGCATACCTTCACCTTGTAGATAGATAGATCCAGAAGGGAGAAGACACAGTGAACCATTAGATTTCTTTTCCCAGCCGAACTGTTTTCATGTCTGTGGTGTGTGTGTATGTACCATGTGTGTGTTCACCCCCAAGTGCAGACGGAACCTACAGGTGCAGGATTAGAAGTGAGAAGTATAGTCTCAGAGAGCAGATATTTGAGTGCCAGCCAAGATGATTAACTTAGATGTTTGGGGTTCTGTGTGAATTTACTGAGTTCAAGAAGTAGCAGGAAGTCAGGCTGGGAGGCAACTAGCAACTCTTGATCAGAATGAAATGCCAACAAAGTAGCAAATATGTGCTGTGAGGGCATCTAAGGGATGTCTGGATTGCTTCTGATTGGAGAGATGAAGGATGCTGTCTTGGAGGGTGGTATTTGAACTGGTGTTTGCTACCAGTGCCTAGTTCATGACTAGGAGGAGGAGGTGGTGTTTGTAATTTGATAAGTCTACATTTGGACTTTGACATGAAGTTCTCACAAGTAAATTTTAAATTCTGAGTGGATTTCCTCCAACAGTAGTCTTAAAGGCTGATAAAAATACCCTTGGGATATAAGTGTTACTTGGTCTTAGTTGTAGAGTTATATGTAGTTTCCATTAGTTTATAGGCTGTCTTTTGCAGTTGTGGTGAAAATGTGTTCTGCCTGGCTGCTACCTTTGCTTTCTGTGTTTAACAAAAATAATGCCTAATAGAACATGGCGATTTGCAGATTACAGGCTGCTTTTGCATGTGTTTGTTTCATTTACTGCTCTCACCAGGGCTGTGAGCTAGAGTGGACTGGTTTCCCTATCTTTTTAAAATAAGAAAACTAAGGCATAGAGTCTTGGGGATTTGAACCTCTATTGCTGCCATTTGTCTTGAGCAGATTACTTCCTAAAAACTCACTTTAGCTCATCCATGACAACAGAAACCTCTGGTACCTCTCATTTCCCTGTATTAGTTAAGCTGTATTCTAAAATTACTAATATATATATATATAAAGTAATGGAATAACCAGTTGACCAGTCGCTATGATGCGCACTGATCACCAGTGGGCAGACAGTGCATGAGCTGCCCCATGGTGGTCATTATACCCCCACAGCCAGCCTCCCGTGGTCCCTCCCTTCCAGCTGGCTACTCGATGAACCTGATGGGGCTGGCTGGCCAACCTCCCACTATCCCTGCTCCTGGTGGGCCAATCTGCCATAGTTCCTTTCCCTGGCTAACCAGCCCCGATGACCCCGATGGGGGCTAGACAGCCAACTTCCTGTGGTCCCTCCCCCATGCCAGCCAACCTTCCTCGGCCTTTCCCTCCCCAGCCACTGGCCAACTAATCATACTTCCTCCATCCCTCCCTCCCCAGCCCTGATCATCTGATCACTGGCCATGTTGAGGAACCCCACCCCTGCACGAATTTGTGCATTGGGCCTCTAATTTGGTAATAAAAGATTCATGATTTGTAAACAGGCATTTTTTTTTCTTTTCTGTCTACTATGGAGGTTAAAAAGAGTAGTGATTGAGGGCCTGAGTTCTATGTTCAGATTGCATGAGCTCTAGGCTCTTCCACTTACTAGTTACATGATCTTATATAGGTCAAGTTGCTTAATCTCTTTCAGAGCAGTTACCTTATCTGTAATATGGGAATGGTAATAGTATCAACACTCATTGGAGTGTTGATGGTTATTGGAGGATTACATGTAGTAATTCTTATGCAGTGCTTAGTAATTAATATTCAATAAATATTCATCTTTACTCTGGCACAGAGGCAGGCCATCAAACTAAGGAAACTAGCCTTTTCTAGTAACTGGTTCTTCCCAGTTGCTTTGTGAGGCTAACATGCACTAGATGATTTGCATTCCCAACAGAGTGGTACCTGTTTGTTCTGGAAATTGCCACAGGCTGTTCAGGGGTTTTAATTGGTTCCATAACCTTTTGTATAGTTGAAGCCAATCTGATCTGCTTTTGCTACTCACCCTCCCATTCACACATCTACTTGTGGGTTACTGGAGGCGATCTGGCCTTGAGTAGCACTTTATTTCATCTTCCCTGACACAGCATCTCTAGCTGCCTCTGAGATCTGCCTTCAGGTTTGCCTTTCCCAGCTCTCTTCCCAATAAGCTTTGTGCTACCCTCACCATTTGTCCCAAAATCTTGCCATCAGCAACCTTCTCTTTTGATTATTCAATAGAATTAAGGAGCCATTATTTTTTGAGTGTCACGGGGAGACTGGGGGAGGGTGTGTGTGTGTGAAGGTGCATATTTCCTTAAAGGAGATGGGGGTGTGCGAGACCTTAAATCTGAAGAGATAATATAGATGCTAATTGGGTTGGGGGTAGGGAAGAATGTCCTGGAAAGCAGTAGTGGAGATAGCCTAAGTATGCAGGTGAGTAATGCGTAGTCTTTTGAATACAAATGTAGTACTCAAAATTGGAAAGTTTAGACATTTTGCATTTACTATTTCTGTCTTAAAGGTGAATTATCTCTGCCCAATAATGTTTAGCAACCCTGTCAATATTGTAAGTAAGAGCTCTATGTGTCCTGAGGAAGTTAGGTACACATCCTGTGGGATGATTTATGTATAACATATTTTCTTGCCTATTTCTCCTTAATTTTTTTACCATGCCTTGAACTAGTGGACCGGCAGCAATATATGAATGATCTAGCCCAGGATATCTGTTAAGTGACATCTTGATACTGCCACCAGAATGCTGAGAGCAGATTATTATCTCTCTCTAATAATTCCAGATATTTAACTCTTCAGTTAGAATTCAAACTGTGAAGCCAAGACATTGTTTCATGAAATATTTTTATTGAGCGACTTTGTGTTTTGCCACCACTGACAGGCAAATGTGGCCCACAATTGTTTTAGTAAAAGGTGAAAAGTTACAGTTTTATAGGGTTAATCATTCTGCACCTAGGACTGTCCTCCCCTGCAGGCCTGGTCACTCCAACTGCCCTCCCCTGCTGGTCCAGTAACCCCTAACTTGCCTCCCTTCGGTCTGGTCCCCTGCCGGCCATCTTGAGGAGGCCATCTTGGGGACAGCCATCTTTGAAAACATGAGGTGGCCATCTTGTGTTGGAGTGATGGTCAATTTGCCTATTACCTCTTTATTATATAGGAGGAAGAGTACTGTTTTATTGTCAGAGACCTCATTTGAGATTAAATTAGATTTAAACCTTAATAACATAGGCAAATTATGACTATTTATGTGTCTTGGGAAGATCTATTAAAAAGCATTATCATGTGTTTTGGTGTTGTATATAGCAGAATCTGGATTGAGGTAGATGGGTGGACAGGAATTGAGGGAGGGATAGATTCTTTGTATTTTGCTCCTGTATGTTATAGTCAAGTAAGCAGAGTACAATAATTTGGCTTAGTAATTCTTTCTCCTATATAGGTTTCTCTATATCTAAGGTAAATTTAAATTCAGAAGTCATCATCTAATAATTACTTAGTCCAAAGAAATGAATTAGTCAACTGTTTAAAAATCCATCACAATGACAATGACAGTACTATTACTGGTGAGACGAGGGAAGATTTCAATCAAAAGACAAAGTGTAGAAAAACAAGCAAGAATTTACTGAGCACAGTAAAAACATTCTAGGACAGTGAAGCAAGGACCATTGCTCCCTTGGTTGCATGTCTCATACGGTCCCTTAGAGGTTAGGGGATATGTGCCTGTGGAAAGGACAAGAGGACAAAGGGAAGGGAATGAATGGCGCTGGGCCTTGCTCCCTGGAGGGAGAGCACCCTGGGACCTTCACTCTCATGGGTTTTAAAGGCTGGGTGTTTACTATTTATCCTCTGGTGCAGACCTCTTACTCTTAAGTATCCTGTGCTTAGGAAAAATAGGATTTAATAGATGGCTGCAAACTGCTATTTAGCTATCTTAGTTTCCCTCTTCACTTCTCCTAAAAATTTCCTGGCTTCTTCCTATTCTGTAACGGTACCAGATATTGAACAGTGAAAATGATTCTCCTGTAGGTGACATTGCTAAAGACTCTTTGCAGATAGTCAAGTAGTTTGACTGGTTGTTCTTGTATATATTTTGATAAATTAAATGGAAAGATTAAAATTTTGCTTTTTCATAGATTCACCGTGGCCATTGACCTTTGCTTTTTGAAATGCTTTTAGGGGCATTATCTCAGCCTTTCTTTTTAATATATAAAAATTCATGTTTATTTTAGAGTATTTGAAGCATTCTATCAGGTGTTATAGGTGAATACAAGGATGAGCAGGACATTGCCACTACCGCCAAAGATCC